AAGTATAGCTTGTTCAAATGTTTTAATAGTAAAGCAGACCATTAATGTAACTGGATTTAATGTTTCAAGTTTACAAGTTCTCCATGTGACTTTTAAATGTGAATAATGTATAAGATGAAGTGTGAAGTATGTGTATATTCACAGTAAGTGTATGAAAATTATCCTGGCGTCTGATAGTATTTTGATTTATAAGAAGGTGTTTTGGTGATGTTTGCAAAGGAGCAGTTTTTTGACATTTTGATTTTGTGTCATGTCCTCATTGAACTGTAACTTGAGCTGGCGTGATTCAGTGAATGCCATCACCATTTCCATTGAGAATTTAAAAATCACCAGTGTTTAACATGCAGGCTTCCAAAGGCTTCCAAAAAATCAAGACCCTTAAATTTAGTTAATTTACTGCTAACCTGGAACTCTGGGTTCTTTTATTTTTGCCAGGTAATTGGCAGTGTACCTAAAGCTCAGTCTTAAATGGCTTATATGTAACTTTGAATTAGCAGTGCTGTCACTAGTGCAGAGAAATGTTTGTGAATGGATACAATAATACTCAGTTAAAACTGTTGTTGGGACAGGATGTAAAAAACACCAAACAAGATAATGGAGAAAAACTTTTTTTTTTCTTTGAGAAAAATTTTTAAAGATGAGATATTAGAGACTAATTTTTCTATAAAATTATATAGCTATAGGAATCCTAGTGGTAAAGTTGCTTATCAGTTTGTAGTGTTTAGAGAAAGTCATTTTTATGACCATAATCTTATTTCTCCATCTTTCAAGAGATCTTCCTTATGAGTTTATCAGAATATGGGTAGCCACTCTGACAAATTCAAGTTGGTTGGTAGCTTTAAACATTTATAATGTGAAAACAGGAAAAACCAGTTTCACTGATGATGATAGTACTCTTTGGTTTTTAAGTTGGCTATTTTTAGAATACTTTCCTAAAACAATAAAATAATCATTTATAATCCCAACACTTGGAGATATAGCCATTATTAAGGCTTTAGTGACTATACAATCTTGGTTTTTTATGTATATTCATGTATATATTTAAGAAAATGAAATTTATACTGTGCATATTCTCAGTCTTCAT